TGCCCAAGCCCAAGGTGCTTGAGATGGTGAAGATGCTTGGATTGGGGACTTGATGGATTAGGGGGGAGTGTTGGAGTCGGTGCTGTAGCGCCGTCGATTTTAATCGCACCAAGCCCCACTTCATGCCATACATGGTTTGCGCTGTCCGCTACCTACAGTAAGTTTCGTATAGTCACAACTCCCGTTTACATAGAGATACCGCATTTCTTTCACCAGTAGTCTCCATTTCTGTAGATCTGACTGCACTCTAGAGTAGTGTCTACCTTACCCACTTCTGGTCCGTTTGGCGCCATTCCAGCGCCACTTAGTGTATGGTCGTGTTAGCTAGTTCCCACGCGCTCTGTGCGCTGTCATCTGCGCCTGAGTCGACTCTGTGGTCCTTAAGACTTACAGAGCTCGACTTAGGTGTGTAGCACAGTTTCCTTGCAATGAAAAGACTTACAGAGCTCGACTTAGGCCATTGTGACCCCTTTGAGGCCCACTGCAGCTAACACTACCTGGCTCGGCGCACCCAGTAGAGGCAGCTGATATCCACCAATGTTGGACGTCGCTCCTACGTACGGGGTGGCCGAAGCGGCTGGATGCACCTGTGGTGCACTAGGCCGGTTGCGATGCCCACTTATCGAGCCCATGTTCGAATGAACGTGAGTGGGCGGTGCTGACACACCGAGTGCGACGTAGGGAGGGTAGGCCGCTAACGGCGACGATCTCGTCGGCGCGCGGTGGGCGTTATCCTGTCCAAAGTGGACGCTCCGGCGACGTTCTGGCTGGGCCGCCACGTTGGTGACCCTAACCGTCGCGGCCGACTGTTGGTTCAGCGGATTCGGCGCGGGCGATCGGATAGTTCGCGGTCCATATCCTGGGGGATACGACGGTGGTGTCCTCGAGGCGAGGGTCGTAGGTGACTCCCGGCTTCCAGGACGAGACGCAACGCGGTTCGATTGATCCGCAATGCCCGCGTTCTGCTCGCGCTGGTCTCGAGTACGAGCCAGTGCGGCCTCTAACCGTTGATGAAATTCAGGGGCAGGATTACTGTTCGGTTGAACAGTTTCCCCATCCTGTATCAATCCGAGGCCCATGTCCGGCAACTCCTGCAGTTGCTCGGTCGCCGTTTCGTAGGCTGTATTTAGTCGGGACGGTGACTCGTCCACGACCTCTGCAACCGACGGTTGCGCATATTGTTGGTTCGCGGGTTCAGGTGGTGGTGGTTGCAATTGTTGCCCCGACTGCTGTTCAGTAGTGCTCTCCTCTGTTACAGCGAAGCGTGTCAGCACTCAAGGGGTCGTGTGCAGGTTATGCACAATGAGGACGCAGACTGATGACAAGCTTAGCACACTGGTTCACTGGGGGTCTGGGGGTTCGAGGTCACTAGGGGTCTAGGGAGTGAGAACGCTTGATTGGTACAAGAGGTCAAACTGGGGTGCCCAGTGCAAGACCTGTCCTTATATACTAAAGTACACGGTCGCTGACTAATCGGAGAACATAGTCACAGGACAATAACGA